AGTTCCACGATCTCTTACCTTCGCCTAAATGTTAGCTTTTATGATTAAGAAATTATATATTAATCCCCCTAATTATGCAAATAGGATCCTCAATTGCATGAATTATATCTGTTGATCATATTCTCCACCAAAAGACAGTCTTATCTTAACAAAGAATGCCATGATGACATTTTCTCATAAATTATGCAAATGAGGTCCTTATTTGAATAAGTTATGTTTAATTATGTTCACCTTAACTTAACTTTCAAACACCCCAAGTATAAAATTCCAGGCAGTTACCACTATGCAATTATAATATTTTCTCATTAATTATGCAAATTAAGTCTTCATTTACATAATCGATATCTGCCTGTGTTTCTCTCATTCTTAATAACATATGTCACAAGCTTGAACTTCCTTTTATGGAATGCAGCTGATAGATAGAATTTCCTCATTAATTATGCAAATTACATCCATATTTGCATAATTGTAATATCATTATGTCAAGCATCACTCAAGCTACCTACATACCAAAAATCACGATGATCCATCAATCGGTTCTTGAGTTATCCTCCTTTAAACATTTGTCCTTTAAACCCCCCTGCAGTTCTAGAGCAAGGACTAGGGGCCCAAAGTCACGTCACTTCTTCCCCAGCACAAGAGCTACCTGCCATCCAAATTTCGTTACCCTAGCATGTCTAGATCACGAGATATCAAAACCGGAAGTTCTGCTGCAGTACCATGACAAGCCGCCAGGTGGCCCAAAATCTAATCATTTTGAGGTCTCATCAAGACCTACCCACCTACCAAGTATCAAGACAATCCATCAAGACCTTCTCAAGTTATCGTGTTGACAGACAGACACACACACACACACATACACGAACGCCCCTGAAAACATAACCTTCTTGGCGAAGGTAATAATGAACGCACCCTTTAAACAAGAGATAATTATTTAGTTTGGCACCTGAAAAGCGTTCGCTATAAAGTTACCATGAATGAAATGTGTGTGATTAAAGTACGTTGGATACACGTCATTTTATTACGCCTGCACACACGTCATACCCCTACATCTCATTCTGATTGGGCATGGCTGTGCATTAATGATGTTCACCTGTAACGTCACAATCAGTTACCCTGCTGCAACTTCAGTGATCAGTTAGCAGAAGAATATATAATTATTTATATTTTGTTCAATCCTCCAATGACCAACGTAATGCGTAATAAATCATCTACTTTTCTATTGGTATACGAAATAGCATGTTTGCAATGCTTGCAATGAAAACAAGTGTGAAATTTAACTGGAGCAAATGCAACGAATACATCAAATGTTTAAATCCTTCTAGCTAGAATTCTTATTCTACTAGATTAACTATACATTTTGAATGATAATGACTGCCTTACACAGTAATTGTCTACTGTAGGTGTTCATAAGATCCCATTTCTTTTTAAGCTATGTAATCAATAGAAAGTTTGAAACATAATTTTCGTTAGTTTAATAATGCAGTTCTATCAATGTTTTATCACTATAAATTGAATCCACCACAAGGACACCTGTGGTCTAATGTATTGACGATTGGTAGCCAAGGATGGGTATTGACAATCAGTTTTTAATTGTATTTCAAAATGAAGCCCTTAGGCACAAATACAATAGTGGCATTAATCTTATTTTCTACTTTTGGGTTTGACAGGTATGATGGATGTCCTTTAAACTTGCTCGTTAAACGACAGTGTAGAAATTAGTTTGTACAAAATAATATACATAAGCTGGAAACCTAATTTAGAGGTTCTTGGAAACCCTAATTCAGGGTTTCTTGGTAACTCTATCTGTCTGTCTGCCAAGCGCATACTCTCACCACAGCAAATGCCTAGAATTTTTGATAACTGAACGCAAAGTATTATACTAAAAGGCTCCGCCCAGAGGCATCTTTCAAAAGGAATGGAGTATATTCAGCTAAGAATAAGTATCAATCAATGACGAAAGTTCTTAGTGCATGGTACCTGTTGATGATATGTATTTTTAAAGATGGCTATTATCTTTACCTAAAAACATAATCCAAGCATGTTTATGATATATTTCAAGCTGTTTGGTTTTGTGAAAATATTTTCGAAGCAGCCCTTTTAGGTATTGGTGTTTTCACGTCTTTGTTTATATTCGGTAAGATCTCTGTAAGCACTATATCCTATTAACTTTAACTCCAATTCATAAAATTGACATTATGAGTTATGGTTTAGAGCGATTCAATCTATCACCATAAGCATTTAGCAATTGTTTTCCAGAAAACTAATATGTAATTGAAGACATGCGTGGGATAAAACCGGTATTTCATACGGAAAGGTTATACCGTCGTTCCGGAAATGTCGAGCATTATAAGGGTCGTGGTTCTTAAGGCACCATGACTTTATCATAGCAACTGTCGCTACGGATGTTTCCCCGGGGAAATACGGTATAATAATGAGCTGCCCACCGCGCAAGCATAGTCATGATTAACGGTATTCGGGTCGCTTTTAATCAATGGACTTGACTTGCCCCTTTTGATTAGACTGTCAAGACTCATGATGAAAGGTACTTAATGTCGTTTGCATTGAATTCAGTCACCCCTTTGGGAGACATATACATGGGGGTAAAGCAGTTTTGTGCTAGTCTATAAGTATATCGTTAAGTACGATACTGATTAATAAGTGTTCGTTTGCAAAAGGAACTGTCAATATTTCAGAGTACTAATGGTCAATGAATGCGTGTGATATGCCCGAATATCACGCAGAGCATTTCATACAGTTTTCAAAAGGAATAAAATATATGATAACTTATGTTACACCAATTTTGTACCAAACACAGTATTTTTGCATGTTTTTTTACGTATTTGTACTAAAATAAAATTAACATATATGAAAAACAATTGCAGGGCGGGAAGACGACATGACCATGATTTGCTTTCAACTTTTCAGATTTCGTACACGTTTTGGGTCTTAAATATATATAGTAGCTTCATACTATTTTCTATGATCCAAGTTTATGTCAGACATTCACTCAACACACGATCCAAAGAAACCATCGGTCATCATCTACCAGCTAACGGCAATCAGACATTCTGACCCCTGCATAGTTTGCTTGATCACGGGTACCTTCTACAAATATCGACAATCGAAAACGTATTGCTACTGCTATTTCCGTACCTTCCACGGATCATCTAACTTTTAAAGATTTCGTCGCCTGCTGTCAGTAAACGTTGCTAAAGTTTGATCCTGAACTTGCATTTCAGGGTACTATGTATCTTTTTCGATCATATATCTGTTACCCTTTTAGATGTGTGGTGATATAGAATTATTATGTTTACCCTTTGCAGAAGAAAAGCACATTGTTTTTGCTCTATTTCTTCATCCTCTTTTTCTCCAAACAAGTAAGGTCAATGACCAGGACCAGACGTCTGTCACCATGGTAACTGGTGTAGGGTTACATAATGTTGCCAGTGTCATGCAGAACTTAGTTCAAGAAGGGCTGCATGCGTGGTCACCATATAGTTTGTAAGAATAAATAAAGGAGTAGTTTGTTAAGCTGGGCCATGTGAAGGTAAACATTATGCATTTGCTTTCTAGTTGTAAATATATTGCTTTATCGTATATAATTTATCGCATAGTGCAGTAGCCATTACATCTGTAAAAACTTCCTATCTTTGAAATACTTCAGACCATAAGCGTCCGATTGCTTTTCTTCTAACGGTTTTTCTTCTATCTTTTTTGGGTGTTCAAAACAGAAAACGTAAAACTAAAAGTTGTTTTCTTACATTTGTTCCTGATTCTAAAAACTTAACATAACCCCAAAAGCCAACCATGCATTAGCTGAACTCCTAGAATTCATACTGCGATTAGCAATAAAATTCCAGACACGTAACTTAGATTCCAACAAGACACCTACCATACTGAGTTTCACTTCTCTTATCTTACAAATGACACAAACAAACAAGCAAGCTAGGAATAAGATAAGATTTAATGATCCATCAAAATCAGCTGTGCATATTTTACGAACAAGCAGCGTTACCACGTCATACAGTGCTATCTATAAGAAATATTCAGTCATACTTACGTCAGACAATAGACCACGTCATATATGATTAACCATACTATGGTTACAGCTGATAACCTACTTCACGTCCATAACCTACATCTATAGATCTACTATGACATCATTAGGAACAGGTAGCAATTTTTATACAATACGTAGACTAAAAACCTGCTTTGCTTAGTGAACTTTACAAATTCTTTCAGACAATATTGTGCATGGTTTAGACTTTTATTTTAAATCGAATACGTCTTTTCCTTAAGGGTGCAAAGCAAGTCTTTATTTTAGAGAAAATCGCTTGTGCTATTGATATATTTTCTTGATTAATTTATTTCTATGTCAAATGATAAATCCACCCAACAACATCACCTGTACGTTCCTATACATCTTTTAAGCCGTACAACTATTAAGCCGTCTTTATCAAATGTAATAATTAGTAATGAGATATTAAAATACGCCCATTGGTTTAAGAAACACATTACCGACATGTTACAGTGTTACATTATAAACAACAATTAAGGGATACTTCAAATGTTGTTTGTTAATGATTTGCAATAGAACCTTTTGAAACCAATGCGGGATTCTTTATCTTACAATCATTCCGTATAGATCTAACTACGTGTATTTCGAGCTAAAGGGTATTTATCGTACATTAAAGAACCAAGTGAAAAGCATCTACTAATGTATGACTTGATATTTTGTCTAACCCTAGAAATGAACGCAGATATTTCAGATTTCTTTCTTGTTGGTATCTAGCTAAGCAGAGATATCTAGATGTCTTTGCATTTAATGACATTAAGTTCTGGATGATCTAAATGTATGGTTTTAGTTCAGTATTTGATAGATGACGGTGCCAGTGCGTGATATACTAGTATTTGCTTACCGGTAGGAAAATATGTTAACTTTAAATTAAGGATTAAATGGGGGCTTTTAGGTTCATTGTAATAAGTTGTGATAAGTTGCAGTTATCTTATTATTACAGTTGGCCTCACAAAAAGCAACCGTCTGTTGTTTGAAGTGGTTGTAGTGATTGTTTCAGATGTATCAACTTAACGGATTAGCAGAGTCATCACTACTGTTAATATTCATCGTCCCACGAGTCTTGCGCGAAGCTGCCTTGAAGCTTCTTGATCCTCTCGTCCTCAACTCGGGGAGGGGGTTCCACGTGGTTCTGCGCCTCTTGTGGAATTTCCATGGGCTCTTTCCCCTCGTTGGCCTGTTGGAGATACGTTTTGTACGATCCCGTCACCGGTGGGTCATCCAAGAGCACGCTGTGTTCCTGGAAGTCGGGCTTGATGGTGTAGATGTTCTTCAGGAAGAGAAGAACCGGCGCGTACAGGATGTTGACTAGCCCGATGCCGATGTTGAGCTGTAGGAAGCCGAGGTCGTGCATAATCTTGCCGGCGAGCATTGGCCCCATCGCGTAGGCTATGGAGTAGGAAATGTCCGCGATGGCGTAGATGGAACCATACACGGACGTGTGGCGGATGTCGACGATGTATCCAAGGGTAGGGAGCATGGCGGTGCTCACCAGGGCTTCTCCAAAGCAGATCCCGGCCATGGGGAGGATCAGGACCGCGAAGCTGGTCGCCTCTGGTACGATGAAGGTGCTGAGGCCCTGCACCACTAGCCCGATCAGAGCTAACAGCCACTGGTAGTGCCAGTACTTCCCAGCTAACCAGACGGTTAGACACACACCGACGATGTACGGGATGAAGCACGGTAACCAGACGATGCCCATTTCCCACTCGGTGGAGCGCATGGTTTCTTTCATCCATATGGCGATGGTCGGCTCGAGGAAGGCCAGGGAGACGTTGCACATCACGAGGGCGCCTCCTGCGATGGCGATGTAAGGGTCGATGAGAAGTTTCCACATCGGGGAGCCGACTAGCGTGTTTTCTTTACCCGATTCTCTGTCCGGACGGGTAACAAAGAGAAGGAGAATGCCGTCCACAAGACAGATGAAAGAAAGAGTCAGGAAGGGAACTCGCTTCCCCGCGTACTGGTATAAAATCCCGCCGAAAGGGGGCGCAACTAGACAACCGAAGGATATGAAGGCTAGCGCTATTCCGAGTGCTTTGCTTCGCTCGCCTTCCTCTGTGAAGCGATCTGCAATCATGGCCAAGCCGGCTGAATCAGCGAAGGCGGAACCGACACCCTGGAGACTACGAGCGATGAACAAAACGGTGTAGCTGCTGCCGAAAGCAAAGACAGCTGTGGAGATGAACATGACAGAGATGCCTATCACCATTGGCTTCTCGTATCCTGTCCTATCAATGAGTGTTCCGGAGAGGGGGTTAACAATTAGTTGGACTATAGCCTTGGATGCGAAAAGAAACCCAATGTTAATGTCCTCGTTTTCGTACCCCACTGTAGTGGTGTTCCAGTACGTTTTATTATCTGTGCCGTTCCAAGCTGTCTTCTCTTCTATCGGTTCAAACGCACCTATGGAGTGTAGGTAGTCCGGGATGATGGGTACGATAACCATGTACAGCATGTTATCTAGGAGGAGAGCGATACACACGATCACCAGCACCAGTTTTCGTTGAGACTTGGGGTCTTGAATTTTTTCCGTGAATCTCTCTCGGAGCCCTTGTAGGGATGGTGTTTCGAATCCCAACACGGTCATGTTGTTGATGGTGTTGTGGTGTCCTGGTAGGTAGAAAAAGAAGGTTGTTTCTGGTCTTCTTTGCCCTCTCTTCCGTCTGTCTCCCTCTCTCCCTCTCGCTGGGTTTCAGTCTCGATGGAGTGCTGGAGGGCGAAACAGAGACACGAGTCACTGGGGTTGCCTTGAAATCCTTGCCTTATTATTAGTACATCACATATAGTATCATATCCAAAGTTCCGTGTGTCAATAGGTCGTGCAATATATCCACTGAGGTGTGAGCAACAAAAGCCACCACTGGTCCAAACAAATCCCTGGATGAGTAACTCCTCTTCTAGCGCGTCCGTCCGAAAAGGAAAATTCTCTGGTGCCTCCCTGTGACGGTCTCTGCTCAGAAAACTAATGAATATTTTTAATTACAATGTTAGCCGGTATCCCCTCCCTTGGGCATCCCGGGCCGGCATTAATAGGGATGGCCTAATACTAAACGGTGTCAATGAGGATGAAGAAGAATAGTCCCTACATCATTTAACCGGCAATCGCAATTCAGCATCTGATGCCATGGATCGTAATGCATGATTCATTCAAGGTAATTTTCAATCTATCATTCGTTCTTTAAACGCAAGGTAGAAATGGAGACATCCCTCTGAAAGAAGGATGGTTAAGAATAAAACTTTGCAACGAGGCAGAAGCGAGTTTGAGAGAAAAAGGGACATTCAAACCGCCACATTATAGCAAAAAATTATAAGATACGTTCTCCAGAAAAATAGGAAAATCAACAAAACCACAGATTCAATTTGTTATTTTTAGCGATAAATGAAACTAACGTACAGTTATTCATTTTGCAGATATATTTTATAGATTGTACAATTTTAGATGAACCAGGCGATGTATGCTGTTATATATTTGAGGAAAGGTACACTAGTCCAATAGCTTTCAAATAAATTACTGCAATGCATAAATACTTCAATTTTCCCATTCGTCGTGTTGTATAAGAAATAGCCAGGTAAAACGAATGCCATGTCCCACTAAGTGGCCAGCCTCTTTAGAAACATTTAATTCTATCACGAGACGCAATGTCAGTCTTCAATTTGTGGTTCCCCTTCAAATTTCCGGTCGCCGCGACTTTCAGCCATTTTAAGGTAATGAGTTCTGACACCATTAGTGTAATGAGGCAAGGCCTGTTAATCGTACAGGGCGCGTTTCCACATGCTCCCCTAATCAATCACTCCCTAAACAAGGGCACACACAGGGGTTACAGTGAATGTCACAAGGCAAGGAGAAGAGATAGTCAACAAATTCCTATAAAGTACAAGGGATTAAAAATGTCATATTGGCCTGTAGTTTTCTTTTATATGTTATCTTATTTGTTATTTAGGAAACACTCCCCAAACTCACATGTTCACAAGGCAAAAAGAAGAAGAGATAGTGAACAAATTCCTATCAAGTCCGATAGATTAAAAATACCATATTGACATAGAGTTTTCGGTTAAATGTATATCGGTATTGTTTTTCTGATATCATTTTACAAAAAGCGTTGCGGTCCTCCACAAAAATATATATTTTTGCCTAGATGCCAATCTAAAGAGTAAACACAATAACAGATTCCTGCAAAGCTTAAGCTTAAGCTAAGTCCGATAGATTAAAAATATTATATTGATTACTGACATATAGTTTTTTTATATGTTATCTTTTTTGATATTAATAAAAGGTTAGAAAATGCTGTTGATGTTTTAAATTGTAATCTAGTACGATAACTTGTACTGTATTTTCGAAATGTATAGCGGTATTGTTTTACTGATTCAAAATGAACATATTATTTCAAATCATTATTCATTCTTTCCTAGAACTATTTATTATTAATTCTTTCCTAGAACTATCGCAGAGTGAAACTCGCTGTCACCAGGTACAATAGGTGCATTGTCATTAGATAGCTTTAAACAATGTCTAGAGTTAGATGTCCAAGGGCTAGGTGTATCAGGTCGATCGGTCTAATGTAGCCAGCTGCCGCCGCGCCGCGTGCCTGCAAAGCTGTTGTGTTACGCCAAAAGGCGGTTATGCCGGCTATACAGATACAGAAAAAAGCGCTGCAAACCTCCAGAACAATATATGTTTTTGTCTAAATGCCAATCTAAAGATTAAACATAATGGCGCTTTCTAATTAGAATACTCTTATTACTCTTATTTAGATTATTTAGATTTTTTTTCATCATTTTGTATACTTGACATTTACCTGTAGTCTCACCTTCATCGACGTATAATGGTAACACCAATACGCAAACAATAACAGTTCGTATTTAATTCGGACACATTTGTTAGCTGTCAACCAAGGACATTTGTTTGACGTATATATTGCACGGAGGCGTGGCCGGAATTTTAAAACGGCAACATTATGACAAAAATACCGCCCTAATCTCTGATGACGTTATTTTGCTTGACAGATGGTTCATGATCCTTTCCCTAATCTGTCCACTTTACTTCGCAATGTCATAAATCCTGACTTGTAACATAGATTGATGTCGTAAATCTTCTGACACCTGTTTACGCCAATGTGTTGGTTCTGTGGATCTATATAAATGAATAGCAAACAGGTTGACATGTAGGAAGATTGTTTTATTTAAAGATTGGTTGTACATACATTTTAGTACAGCTAGCTGATGAGTTGAGTTGAACTACCTCGTTTGCGATGTAATACTATACTACCAATACCGGCATCTTCCTTTACCTACATTTAACCCATGCAATTTTAGTTTCTCCTTCACGGAGATATCAGTTATCGTGTAACAAAATAAGTAATTGATGACCATTTTCGATCCAACGCGACAGTGCGGTAATGAAATAATTCATAAATATCGGCGTCTCCTCCACAAACTCGCGTTCCATTCAATTTGTATCGAAAAGATCCATCATTTTAGGGCGAACTACTCAATTTGTCCTATTTGTGGCGTAGCATTGTGCGTCATCCATCCATGGTGATTTTCATTTTCTGCTTATTTAGGTTCAGTTGTAACTCCTGAAATCACATTAGAGACGATCCCGGCCCGACTGGCGTCTTGATTAAGAAACCTATGTCTGCAATACAAGTGGGATAAGGCCGTCTTTTCCCCTTAAAGTTATTATCAAGGATAACGTATTGGTAGCAATTTCATGTTAGAAGTAGGTTTCTAGCACGAAAACTTTGCCCTTAACTTTGACGTATTCTGGTATTTGAAAATGCTTACGATAGGACAGTGTACATGTACCTTATTACCGTTTCACAGAACTTTTTATGTATTGAAGTAATTTGATTCAGTTAGATTATATAATAGCTCCTCCATTTAGCTGATATATTTTGGCGTCATTGATTGTGAGATATCTTTTGGCTTTAGATTTTAAACATAATACAATTACAAGTAATGCAGCATCGGAAATCATGAGATCTTCGCACGTTTGTAGGTATTTAAGAAAGATCGTCTTTGAAAATTTTAAAAAGTAACCCACAGTTGAACACAGGCAGGCAGATAAAATGTATTCAAGAAGTTATAACACCACAACGCCAAGAAGATGTGGGATCTACTGCCATGTGGGTTTTAATGTTATCGATATTTCTTTGGCTTATGGAATATAGTCCGTGTAGTTTCCTGTCAAAATCCAAGAAGTACTTAGAATCCACCGAACCATCTCAAAGGAATATTTGGTCCATGATAGATGAGGCGTATATTATGGTTTGGTGAGTGCATATTACAGGGCTTTGGGTTGCATCTTGTATATCCTCTATTAAATGACACGGGATGATCTTACACGAAAAGGTCTTGTATGATACGCATTTAAATGCTGGCTATGGATTTTTGCGGAGATGTTTATAAAGATATCTTTGTATAAGCAGGAAGATTTATTCGCTATACGGACCCGTAATAATAGTTGATGGATGTTACTTTATAACATGAAATCCTCTGCAAGACAACGGGCCGTTTGTATCGTGGAATATAGCAAATGTGGGTTCATTGCAATGTCATTTATGGCAAATGTGACTTCGTACCTCTTTTAAAGCAGCCAGTTTCTCTTTAAGTACGTGTTGCGAAACTGTTTATAACCGCTTTCAACAGATAATAAACTTGATGATCTTTTAAAAAAAGATAGCAAGAGACGTAAAAATACACGAACTTCAGTCGCTTTTGTCATGTAGAATGCATGTGTCATCCTGGACTAACGTCAAATATATGTAATGTAACACTTTATCAAATACTAGGCTTGTGCTAGCCCCTGTTGTTTGAGTAATTAGGATCTATTACATTTTATTCTATATTACGTCTTATTCTATACTTTTTTTTAAAATTCGTTCAATAGTTTTTGCCATACATTGTACCATGTGCAATTATGCAATAAATTTCTTCATAAAAACGTAATGCCATCCGTGTTTAAATCATAGCAGGTCTTAAGATAAGATTACGGACAGGTGTCGCTCAGAGTAGCCATACACTGACACAAAGTAGTGAATTTTATTGTGAAGTTATTTTTTTCATGACCCGATCTAGAGTATCACGTCATTACACGACTTTTGCTTTTTTGTTTCGAAAAAAAAACTACCTTTACACATAGATGTCTCAATTAGTACTCTTTAAAACTATTTCTTCTAAGACTACCAGGCATTTCTGTTCTGTATTTCATCATTCACTACATTGTTGGGCACATCTATTGCTTTGCCGAACCTTCCCATGATTTCCCAGCGGATACAATCCTGAGGCATTGCCGACCAAGGCACGAGACTCTTATCAAAAATCAGCAAGATCCGACAACAGAATCGTAATTTAGTCATACTTTCATAACATCATAATACTCAAGGCACGAGACTCTTTTAAAAAATCAGAAAGATTTGACAACAGAATTGTAATTTAGTTCTACTTATATAACATCACAACACTCAAGGCACGAGACTCATAAAAAATCAGCAAGATTTGACAACAGGATTGTAGTCCTACTCTCATGACATTACAACACTCAGAAAAGAATAAACGATAAAAACTTCACATCACGACAGAAGAATAAAAATAACTTGCAAGTGGAAGTGATAAAAAATGTTGAATGCAAGGATCACTAAAGCAAAAAAAGTCTGTTTGAAATTAGGTTTAAAGCTGAATACAGAAAATGTTTATTAGCCTAGGGGTCTCTTATGTGAAAATAGATGTAGAAAATCAGATGTACCTATTTTAGCAAGTGCCATATGTAAAGACAACGTATTGTTGTTTTCTTTGAGTTTTTTGCATTTTTTTCCTGACAGATTTGGTTTTACTTTATTGAAATACTGTAGTTTATTTTGGGTGCCTCATTATTGACAACAGTTACTGCCTGTAACCTATCAGAGAGTCAAAAGCGCACGTAGGATTAACATCAATCTTACCGGGATATTCGCAGGAAATGTGTGGTCACGGTTCAAGCGTTTGAGACAGGAAACTTATATCATTCCACGGGGATTGTACTAGTGAGAACAATCTGATGGAGTAGGTGTTTATGACTAAAAGAGGTATTTATATGCAACATCACATCCACCGGCAGAGCAGAAGTAGTAACATCAATCACGTCAAGCTACTTCACCATTCATCAAGTGTACCCGTACCCACTTTACACTGCCTCCAGAAACATACCAACAAATAAAACTGAAACTACGCAAGAAAGAAGGCGTGTAGACATACAGATAACGCTAACAACGACCCTCATTTATCTGTAGATATAAGATAGTGTTGGAACCTCTTCTAAATAAAATGAAATCAGCTTGTGGCCTATGAGGACGTTTTCTGCCGTATAATCACAGAAGCAACAACCATAGACTCGGGATCTAAAAGTATTGGAGAGACGTTTTCGGTGGCTTAGTCGGGTTCCAAGTCTCGACAAACGGATTATGAGTAATCCAGTGCGTTCGTCTCCGGGCGTATTCCGTAATGGAACCCTATTCCCACATGTCTCTTAGCTAGACTGCGCAGTGTTTTGGTGATTTCCTGCTGGGTTTTCTCATAACTGTATCCATAAAAGTGATATATTCTTACTTGATATTGCCTCACCTCGCGGATACTGCCTGCCATATATTTCTCATAACGCTATATGTTTATTTTATTTTTTATGAGTACACGTGCGTTATAAATTTTGATCTAACTGTATTGTCGAAAAATGTACACGTTTAAGAAGAAGTTCTATTATTATTGCGTTAATTATGACTATTTTGTATTCTATCACGTTTTGTGATTTTTTACGCTAAGATGACCATACCCACTTTCCATTTCCTTGTCTTACTTTTTTTTATTCAATGCATCATGCAAAATTAGTTCAGTATTCTTTACTTTCGGATTTGGCACATTAGGACATTTGTCTTGTCTTTGAAACTGCTAAACATTTCGAATGGTATATCTTTACTAAATCATGAGACACACATACATATTTCTAAGGTTCAAAAGATGCTACCCATATACGCGCATGGATTAGATTGTGTAGTTACATTTTTAATTCAGTTTAACATGTCATGCTTTACCATTTAATTTGCAAAAGACATAGTAGGGACTTTTGGGTTGTGCTTTGCAAGCTATAAGCCTTTTTAGATATCACATCGTTCTATTCCAGATTTTCATGATTGCTCGATGACCGATTATTCTGAATATGAAATTGGTTAGATTTTTATTCTTAATATACGTAGTGGAATCGTTAAAAGGATTTAAGTGGATTTAAAGCTTCAGAAAGTGTAGGTTTCCTTTACACACTGTAACATCATAAAATCGTTAGGTACTAAAGATCTGCATGAAACATTTCCAGAGTTTGTAAAAACAATATTATAGAAGAACTATATATTGCAGACCGTATTTGCGTGCCATGAAGAAGATAAAGATGAGAAATACCATAAAAATGAATAATAATACTTAATTCCTCTATCAAGTATTGCTATGTTCGCTTTATCTCTGCGCGGTTTCATAATTTCTCTGCAGCATTTACCTTTCAAATGAATTTTGTATGTGTATATGTACACCTGAAGATTGTACATATGTTTGACCTACATAGTTTGAAGAATGCATATGCCCTTAGCGTTTTTGACGCTAGTTTGCAAAGACAACATGTACCAAATGTCAAAGTTCTTCTCCCTAAGGGTGCCACCAAAGCTCCCCATGAGAATAAGCAAATATGACGATGATATTTTCCAATCTGTTAACCGTGTGGGGCTTTTTTTGACATCACAATCTAAATCTAATTACCCTGAGCTAACGGGGATCTGGGAAGACGAAAACCAGGCGGTTCGCACCGGCCTTTGAATTAGTAGGAAAATGGCAGAGGGCAGGGATAACCTCAAAGGAATCTTACTAAGTAGGAGTGTGAAGAATCATATGCAAAAAGAAACAGCGAATTCTAAAGCTGACACTATTAGCATCATTTCATCTAAGCGTATTGCTACTGCTAAACTATATTTCGTGATTTGTAAGATTGATACGTAAAATGTTAAAGCATGAAAATAATGACCGGCTTAAGGAACTATCTATGCATTCTATTCCGTATATCATATATGCAATGTTTTAAAACGGCGCGATTTCCACAAAGATAAAAGATATCATATAATAAAGATATTTATAAAAATCGATCTAGCACTTTGAGACTGCGAGGTAAGTGTTGATATGTTATGATGGTTTCTAAGAATACCTTATATGCATGAAAATTGAATTGTAATAAAAGTTTGCATTGTACGCATTTTTCATTCATTTTTGTACGTCTATGCTTTTATCGCGTACCAAATGTTACATTATGTTTTTTTTAGACTTTTAAACAACATAGTGCATCCAAATCTCTGAAAAAACAACAACGGCCATTGCTTTGCAACGCTGTAATACCAATGACTAAAACAATTGCATGGGCTCATCAATTCTTCCTTGTTTGCGGCCGGTTTTCAGTAGGTACATTTTAAATGTATGATTTCTTGTGCATACTATAAGTGATATATTAAAGTGCTTTTGCTATGGTATAGAAAAAATCTTCTGACAAAAATGCCGACGCATTTGCTACAGCGTATTTACATAGATATAGTACATAACAACATCAACAACAACGGAAAAAGAGGTGTACATACCTAACGTGTATATAGAATACAGCGGGAGTGAAGAGGAAGCGCGTTGCCTAGCTCGCAAGTTTTCTAAATGCTATGTGCGTCCCACCGACACCAGTTAACGGGTCCTCCTCCCAATATCCAATCTACCAAGCCTCGTCATCTTCTGGGCCTTCTAGCAATGAGGCTGTTGACGTCATAGATGGGACGTGCCATTACTCGATATGGGGGACCAGCTCAGACGTAACAAAAAACTAGGTTACATCGCTGAGGACGTATCTATCTTTATCAAGTAGATATAGAAACTTGTAGAAACTCTTTAGCTCTTTATCTTAGTACAAAAATTTCCTTAAACCAAGCGGCCTTTAAGTTATCCCTTTTTAAACAAACATAGCGTAAAATGTACACCATCTCTATAATATTTTACTATCTTTAAGAAAACGTTGGATTTACATTAAATACAAATGCTGCCTAGTAAAGAATCAAATTTTGCAATCAAAAACAAATCGTAAACACGACTACAATAATAGCAACGTATGATGTCTAGCACAATCGACCATTTTGCAAGTCAACTTACTTTCTTTTATCTTTTTTATCATTATCTGTATAGCCGGTATAACCGCCTTTAGGCGTAACACACCAGCTTCGCAGGCACGCGGCGTGACGGCAGCTTGCTACATTACTCCGAACGACTTGTTACACCTAACCTTTGGACATCCAACTCTTAACATTATTTGAAAATATCTAATGATAATGTCCCTACTGTACTCGGTGACAGCGAGTTCAACTCAGCGAAAGATCTAGGAAAGAATGAGTTTTTGAACACCTCAATCCTTAGTTGATACCTCTGTTAATTTTTTTTTAAATTTGAATTTACCACAAGGGATAGCAAAACAGGCGTATTGACTCCTCTTGTACTTCTAACAAAAGATACCAGCAATGGCGTTTCCTTGTGCCATTTCCATATGACCATCGCCATCTGACTAACCTATTCAAGACGTACATAACTACGTCATGACCAATATGCCTTCAGTCCAAACTGTAATAGAGACCACATCAATATTGATATTTCATTAATGTAACAGGTTCCACCACATGGGGAACGTAAATACTGTTCCAGGCAGGTGGGCGTTCTTTAAAACTTTAATGGTGGAAAATTGTCATCGTTGTTTTTTCGTGTGTCACCTATGTTTCATTTCCTGGACAGGAAACAGTATTTCAATTACGAATTACCTGTTGAAAATGAAGTAAGATACGTTGTATGAGTCACATAAAAAGTAATAGAAGGTTCTAGAGAAGGAAGAAACGTGAAAATTATGACACATATGACATACGTATAAAATATCTGACGAAGATTTGATCCTTTATTTTCTGGGTGCTGGCCTTAAAATCAACCCAGGTCCTTTTAGTAACTGTTTTTGGTCAAAATTACGGGCCTTTTTTGGTCCATGAATGTCGATACACATTGCGACAGTGCTGTTTCAACCTAGTATGTACAGAAATGACTAGAATATTGAATTTGAAGAAAAACAACAGTTTTCCATCCCTAAACAACTGCACTGGATGCCTATAAAGGCAACAGTTGTGTTTCAGTTACAAATGACTTGTTAGAAATTGAGCAAGTCACCCTATTGAAAGCTTCAAGAAGTTCAAGAGAAGGAAGAAAAATATAGCATAAGGAATAAGATGATGCAAGATGTAGAGAAATAATCATCTGAAGGTTTAAACGACCCCCCTCCCACACGTAATGAGAGTTTGCCAATATGTCCCGGACGTCCTCTCCTTCACTGTTCCCAAACAGCTTCAGCCCACGAAATCAATGGCTATTGTAAAATTTTCATTAGTGCGGAGAACGGATGGGGCGATGGGCGGGTGACCTACGGGATAAACGACCGCTTTTCACTTGATGAAATTAAGACATCCTTCTCTTTATGGGCACATGCTTGTTACTTATATGGTCACCGTAACCCGAAAGCAAAATAGTTGTAGTGTATTGTTCTTACTTATGTTTTTCTTCTTTAGAGCAGCTTTAATCTTTGCTGCCTGCCTTATGAAGTCAAATTAAAAGTCAGCAATATTTGTTATTTTATTACAACGTGGAAAATGACCATGGCACATTCGGTACGATTGTCGCACAATTATAAAATTAATAAAGCATTGGATATTCGTGCATGTTGCATCATACTCATCTCTTCTGCCTTGTTTCGGCAAAACGACTGTCCCAGCCTGCTTGACACTTGCACGACACTAAAACCGTACGACCACACTATAATTGACCTCGTAGTACCACCTCTAGCTGTATAACAGCTTGTACTAGGCAACCTGGTATAATGTAGCTCCTAGTTGGAGCCAAATTTGCTGCCCTCGCTTGAACGTGATAAATATTTTACTGTCACCTCTACCTACTCACGGTATTTATGACTTAAAAGGCTCAGGTGCCACCAGATTGAAAATTTGATCTATTATTGAATGGAAAGTCGCAATTAAAACTGAAAGCTCCCGTTAGGCGCTATGATTGGCAGAAACGAATGGCCTCCCGGATAGAATTACTAGGAAAATAAGTTTGGCTCTCCCGATCATCGTTACATTTTCTTGTATAAGTGGATTAACTTGTGTCACATTGAATAACACTTACGTAACGTTTCAGGTTGCACAGTGGCATATTTCTGATTACCGAATGAGTTATGTGTGTATTCTCCTTGTCTAAAACGGTGATGTATTAAGTCAATCAAAAGAAATAAGTACTACAACGGCATGTAGTAAAAGTTTTACAGGTAGATATTTTTAACGGCTGTTATAAGTTACAACGGCTGCTATTTGCTATTACTCCTTTAATTAATGTACTGTAACAGTTACAAAAGTTTCTTACCGTTCTCTTTCCTTTCTTTCTTTTGTTATATATGTCATGCTCAAAATATTTCATATGACCTTACCAGTAACTTATAACTTATAACCAGAAATATTTAAAGAAAAATGTATTGGTTGCTGTTTTATTGTAAACCACACATCATTGCAATTGGAACATGAGCTTGCTAGGTAACAATAATGATATTTATATGGTTATGATAATAATCATGCTGACGTGCGAAAGAGAAATGAAAATAACAGATGATTTCTTCACAATCAGCTCTGTTACACTCAAACCGGCCCACAAGATCGATAGTAAGGGACATTTTACAGATGATTTTCATAAGCATAGCGAGCAGATATCTCTAAATAAAAACCAAATTATCCCCCCAGATATAAAAGTCGGTGCGGCAGCCTAGGCACACTGGAATGAATCACAGGCCGGTATTGATTACTTTTTCGTATGTTAATTTAATTAAGTGGAGTCCGAGAGTAGCCGAAATATTAAAGTGAGGGAGTCTTGGGATTTGAGGGTAACGGTCAGATTAATTACGTCTGCTTCCGGAAATGAGAATATCCGACTGATTCAAAGAACTGGGGGCGGGATAGATCTTAATACACTGAAGCATATATTGGAACAAGGAGGGGCTATATTTTTAAACGTACAGTCGCAAAAAAAAAATACAAAAAATACCTTTTACCTGTGTGTTAGACGAAAAATATCCACAAATAGCAATAAGCTGTTGTATTGTTTTACTAAATTTCCTCTTTTACGGGAATTTGTGAATTAGGGGAGGCTTACTGCCAAAGCTAACGACGTTATTACAGATCTATTTAGTTTGATATGCCCAGGGGCATATTTATGTAGCTTACATGATACCAGTCGTATTGGGCTCATTATGGGACGTGGCAGAGGATAACTGCACGTCAGCGTCGGGTTGAAAGGTAATCCATTCTGACGTAAACGTCGGTATTTAAAACAGGTACAGCGGCATTTTCTTAGAAAACACATTTACAGTGTTGCGACAGATCATACTAATTCTTAATGTTATCTTGGTCACCTACGAAATTTATATTTAAAAGAAAATAGAAGAAAATGATAAAAACTGTTGTTGCTAGAAGTAGTCCAAATTTTTTTCAAAATCGCAATTTTTAGTAGACTGATGTTGTTCTTATATCTTGACATCTACATTATGTACATTATGACATTATGATATATCGACACTTGTAAAATTCTAACGCAAAAAGTAAAATGTCTAATGTCGATTTTACAGTTACTGGTACACAACTAGGGGTTTAACTACAAGTACAGCTATAAGTAAAAACAATATTTCTCGACACAAATCTAAACAAGACTCTTATTGGAAAGAACTGCATTAATGTCAAGCCATTTAAATTTTGCATTACCCGACTTAACATACATACATTCACTCTCCTACGGGCATACAGGCATCAACTTCTTGCTTGTTTTAGCTCCGTATTTTAACTTATCATCAAATAATAACCCCCGTATCAAAACCGGTATATAAGAAAATGAGTGCAAATCTTATTGTTAGTGCAATCATAATAGGTGGCGTAAAAAAAGAAAATCTTATAGTTTTATTAAGAAAATCAGCTTTGCAGCATGAGGTACATGTATAAAAAGCTGAATTGCATTGATCTGTACAATCATATGTGGCATAGCATCAACATTACATACAAAAAGATGACAACTCAGGCAAAGATATACAATATGCCTAACTACGGGTGCGAAGTAAACAAGAACCTTACCTCAACAAGCCACTCTCCTTCTGTAGCTGCTCTAAAGCGATGGTCTCTAGATCTGAAACTCGTCCTTTATTAAATCAGAGGTCCAGAGCGTGGGCGTGACCTACAGTGACACAAATAGGACTATCAGGACATGGGTGTGGTACATATGCAAAATTTTAATGCTTCCATTTTGTAACGGTCTGTAGGTTTGAAAAGTCAAGCTTAAATTACTTTGTCCAGCATTTTGTACTACACAATCGGTTATGTGTTGTAAGAACCAGATATTCTAGCCTCTGATGGTTTGGTATTTTATAAATTCCTCGTTTTCTTTCTTTATTATACCAAACATCTTTGGTGATTGGTTCATTTATTACTTGGTTTACTTTTATCAATAGTTCGTCACCTAGCTTTTTTATGTCTTATAAAGAGTGAAATGATAATCGGTTCGTGTCATCTGTAATCTATATTGACTTTCTTAGTTCGTCTTACCCATTGGCTGCCTTTTCTATCTTTGGTTTTCTTATGTTTTATCGATTTTCTAAACTAATTAAGATTATGCTAAAAT